TGCAGTAAGTTATGATGAGGTAGGAAGCATGTGTAAAGCTTATCTATAATTAAATAGTTCATGATTGACGATAGATCCGCCCACGCTCTACCACAGAAGCCTGAAGCCTAAATTGAATTCTATTGCATCCTATACACCAGAAGTGCTTGTTAAAAATTATCAGTAAAGTGATATTTATTTTGCATTTATATTCCATTTTTATAAAATAAAGAACAAATAATTGTCACAATATTAAAAATTTTAACCAAACACATTTGGTGTATGAGATAAAATAAAATTGAACTGAGGAATTAAGCTTGCGGGTGGAATCCGCATTGGCGGCTCTACCATCAATCCTGAAATATTAAATTATGGATAAGCTTTGCACATCTTTACTACCTCATCGTATATCATTATGGCTATTTATGAAATTTCATGAGCTGATTTTTCACCCTACTGTGGGCAATTCCGCTATACAGCCTAATGGAGCTGACGAATTATTTTTTGGCATGACCGATTCAAGCATCGAAACCACGAATACTAGTTCTAATGGCTAGTCGTCCTTTTGCCGTTACATAAATAGTAATTACTGGATAACCCAGCATGAATTTCTATTTATCTTTCTTGCTCTTCTTCTCATCCCTCTGGTAATGGTTTGCTTAAACAGAAGGCATGAGATTTGTTAACTCAACCTTAAGGATAACCTGTTTTAAAATATGTACCCTAGGTAGAGCTAGTCAACTTCATGGACTAAGTGGCATACTTGGTAAAAGAATGAAGAAACTTCCTTATTTAGGCAATCACATTATATAAAATGGTATGTAAAAGATTATATGAGTAACCCAGCAACTCTTCTCTTTTAATTCCAACGTACTCTAGATGGCCGCAGAGCTCTTATCCAAAGCCACCTTGGTTTTGTCGCCTACATTTTCACTTAATTGCTAAGACACCAGGTTTGCTCTATGCCCTATACATATACAAGCCCAAGCCATTAGTTATCCGTCCACCGTTTATCAACGACAAAGAAAAGTTGTGATTTGTGACCCCTTTTTACTTAGATCATTTTTAAGTAATTATTTATTAAAAACTGGTTTGACCTCGTTTGTTCAGCTTGGTCCTGTTTTAAGAGCGACCTAGATCAACGCCCTTTATCTGGAACCGTCTGCTATAATAGTTATGTTACTTTCCAACGTTGGGCCGTGGGTTTAGTGCATTCCCAGACTTTTCACCGACAGTCATAGCACCAGGCTACATCTCGTCCGAGATAAGTAAAGTCCATTCCTTGACCATCCTTCGTCAGAAAGATTGTAGTATTCCAAACCTGGCAAATTTATCTATTTAATATCCTAGTAGCTCACTCTGCTTTTATTAAAACTCCTATACTGGAAGGGACATAAAATCAGCATACGGATAAAAAATGTGACTTCGCAGAAAAATGACCTGTAATGTAAAGAAAAAAGGAATTCATAAAGAGTAAATACAAGGAAACGGAAGATCAGGGAGACCGTCGATATCCAAGCTAAAGGAAATGTAATGGAGAGACTTGAAGCAAGCATACTTAGAAATATCTTTGCTTATTGCTTAAGAAAACAAGGAAACGACAAGATCAGTTGAAAAAAGACGTCTGGTTCAAAGACATATTCATAAACAGAGGAAAATGGATTGTGATAAGGAAGGAAATCAAAAGAAGACGCTTGCGATGAGTGTATTTTACTCAAGGGAATCTTTGAGGGTCTTACTCACAAGGTAATAGAGACAGATAGT